TTTTTTTCTAGGTTTGGTGTCAGGGTAATGTGGGCTCATGAAGTGAGTTTGGGATTATTCCCTCTTCAAATTTTTTGAAGAATTTGAAGGATTGGAATTCTTCTTTAAATGTTTAGTAAAATTCATCAGTGAAGCCATCTGGTCCTGGACTTTTCTTCATTAGGAGATTTTTGATTACAAATTCAATCTTCTTATTCTTTATTGGTCTGTTCAGATTTTTTATTTCTTCCTGATTCAGTCATGGTAGGTTGGTTGTTTCTAAGAATTTCTCCATTTCTTTTAGGTTGTCTAGTTTGTTGGTATATAGTTGTTTACAGTAGCCTCTTATGATCCTTTGTATTTCTGTGGTATCAGTTGCAGTGTTTCCTTTTCCATTTATGATTTTGTTGCTTTGAACCCTTTTCTTCCCTTCTTGGTTTGTATAGCTAATTGTCAATTTGGTTTACCTTTTCAAAGAACCAACTTGGGGCTTCCCTGGTGGTGCAGTGGTTGAGAGTCCGCCTGCTGATGCAGGGGACACGGGTTCATGCCCCGGTCCGGGAGGATTCCACATGCCGTGGAGCGGCTGGGCCCGTGAGCCATGGCCACTGAGCCTGCACGTCCGGAGCCTGTGCTCTGCAACGGGAGAGGCCACAACAGTGAGAGGCCCGCGTACCGCAAAAAAAAAAAAAAAAGAACCAACTTAGCTTTTTAAATCCTTTCTATTATTTTCCTGTTCTCTATGTCATTTATTTCTGCTTTAATCTTTATTATTTCCTTCCTTCTAACTCTGGGCTCAGTTTGTTCTTGTTCTAGTTCCTTAAGGCATACAGTTAGATTGTTTATTTGCGATCTTTCTTATTTCTTAATGTAGGCATTTATTGCTATGAACTTCCCTCTTAAAATTACATTTGCTGCATCTCCTAAGTTTTAGTATGTAGAGTTTCTATTTGCAATTTGTCTCAAGACACCTTTTAAGTTTCCCTTTCAGTTTCTTCTTTGATCCATTGGTTGTTCAGGAGAGTGTTTCACTTCCATGTATTTATGAGTCTGCCAATTTCCCTCCTATTATTGATTTCTAATTTCATATCATTATGATCAGAGAAGATATTTGGTATGATTTCAGTCTTCTTGAATTTGCTAAGACTTGTTTTGTGGCCTAACACATGATTTATCCTAGAAAATGTTCCATGTGCACTTGAAGAATGTTTTTTCTGATTGTTGGATAACTATTCTCTATGTCTGTTATGTCCATTTGGTCTATAGTGTTCAGATCCACTGTTTCCTCTTTGACTCTTTGAGTGATTTATCCATTGCTGAGTGTAGGGTATTAAAGTCCCTAGCTATTATTGTATTGCTGTTGATTTCTTCTGTTAGCTCTGGTAGTTTTGCTTTGTATATTTAGGTGCTCTGATGTTGGGTGCATAAATATTTACAATTATTATATCTTACGGATGGATTGACCCCTTTATCATTATGTAATGACTTGTTTCTTTATAACATTCTTTTTTTTTTTAATGCGGTACGCGGGCCTCTCACTGTTGTGGCCTCTCCCGTTGCGGAGCACAGGCTCTGGACACACAGGGTCAGCAGCCATGGCTCACGGGCCCAGCCGCTCCGCGGCATGTGGGATCTTCCCGGACTGGGGCACGAACCCGCGTCCCCTGCATCGGCAGGCAGACTCTCAACCACTGCGCCACCAGGGAAGCCCTCTTTATAACATTTTTAAAGTCTGTTTTGTCTGATATAATTATAGTTACCCCTGCTTTCTTTTTTTGTTTTTGGGTGTGTTTTTTGGTTACCATTTGCTTGAAATATTCTCATTTCTTCACTGTGTGTGTGGGTGTTTAAAGCTAAAATGAGTCTCCTGAATATAATGTATCACTGGATCTTGTTTTTGTTTTTTTTTAAGCCATTCAGCCATTCTGTCTTGATTGGAGAAATTAATCCATTTATGTTTAAAGTAATTATTGGTAGGTAAGGACTTAATATTGCAATTTGTTAATTGTCTTCTGGCTGTTCTGTTGATCCATTGTTCCTCATTTCTTATCCTGCTATCTTTTCTGTGTGTTTTGATGCCTTTTGGTATCAGTCTGCTTTGACTTCTTTATCATGTTCTTTGGTGTAATTAGTACAGGTTTTTCCCTTGTGGTTACCATGAAGCTTACATAAAGTATCTTAAAATATCATAAAATATCTTAAAATAACACCCTATTTTAAACTGTTAACTTATCTTCAATAGCACTGCTAAATATTATACTTCTCCCTCTTCACATTTTAGGTTATTTATGTTACAGTTTACATAAATATTTCTTATATTGCACATCCAATAAAGCTTACTGTAGTTATGGTTATTTTTACTACTTTTTTTTTTTAACTTCTAAACCAGAGTTGTATGTTAATTATGCACCACCATTACCATATTACAGAATCTAACTTTGACTATATGTTTACCATTACCTGTGAGTTTTACACTGCCTTAAGATGATTAATGTCCTTTTACTCTACTCCCTTTAGCATTTTTTGTAAGGCAGGTGTGGTGGTGATGAACTCCCTCAGCTCTTATTTGGGAAAGTATTTCTCTCTCCTTAATTTCTGAAAGATAACTTTGTCAGGTATAGTATTCTTGGCTGATAGTCTTTTTCTTTCAATGTTTTTTTTTTTTTTTGGTGGCACGCGGGCCTCTCACTATTGTGGCCTCTCCCGTTGCGGAGCACAGGCTCTGGACGCACAGGCTCAGCAGCCATGGCTCACAGGCCCAGCTGCTCCGCGGCATATGGGATCTTCCCGGACTGGGGCACGAACCCACGTCCCCTGCATCAGTAGGCAGACTCAACCACTGCGCCACCAGGGAAGCCCTCTTTCAATGTTTTGAACCTGTCATCCCATTCTTTCCTGAAAAGTTCCTGACAAGAAATCTGTTTATAGTCTTATGGGAGTTCACTTGTATGTAACTTCTCTTTTTTCTTACTGTTTGCAAAATTATTTTTGTCTTTGACTTTTAATAATTATAAAGTGTCTCAGTGTAGCCCTACTCTGGTTCAACCTATTTGAGGTCCTCTGAGCCTCATGGGTCTGGATGTCTATTTCTCTTCTCAGGTTTGGGAAGTTTGCAGCCATTATTGCTTTAAATATACTTTCTGTCCCTTTCTCTTCTCCTTCTGGAATTCCCATAATGCAGATACTGTTTCTTTTGTGTCCCATAGGCTTTTTTCACTTCTTTATTCTTTTCCTATTGCCTTCTCTGACTGGATAATTTCAAATGTCCTGTCTTCTAGGTCACTGATTCTTTCTTCTGCATGGTTAAGTGTGCCTTTGAAGCTATTGATTTCTTCAGTTCAGGCATTGTATTTTTCAGCTCCAGGATTTAGCTTTTTTTTTTTGATAGTTTCTATTTCTTAGAACTTTTTCTCATTTTGTTTATGCATTGTTTGCCTAATTTTGTTTGGTGAACTATAAGATCACACAGACAACTAAACTTAAGAGAATTCTGAATTCTTTGACAGTTCACAGATCTCCATTTCTGTAAGGTCAGTTTTCAGAGCTTTTTAAAGTTTCCTTTGGTGTCATGTTTACCTGGTTTCTTTTTTCATTTTTTTGTATCCTTGATTCCTTATGTTGGCATCTGTGCATTTGAATAAGCAGGCGCCTCTTCCAGGTTTGCTTTGGCAGAGAGCAAACTGAACTCTTCAACAGTCAGCTCAGTTTGGGTTTCTGGATGTGTCTACTGGTAATGTATTTGAGCAGGTGGGGCTTGCTGTCTCTTTGGGGGCAGGGCCACTGCCCAAACTCTGAGGTTGTGGAGCAGGGGGTGGGAGGAGGAGGGTGCTGCCACTGCTGACTGTGAACAGTTGGACAGGACTGTTGGTTTGGTTCCCTGCTCAAGTGAGGCTACAGGATGGGCTCCGCAGTTGCCTGGGCTCTCTGATCAGGCTTACTTAGACAGCCGGGACTGGGCAGTACACTCAGCAGTAGGCAGGGGTATGATTTAGTTTCCTTGCTCTGGTGGGAAAGTAGGACAGGCCCAGGGCCTGCATAGCTCATTGTTCAGGGACCCAAATTGGGTAAAAGACTGTGCACTGAATTCCCTGGCCAGACACAGCCACTAGCTCTATTCTGGGGTAGAGTGGGGGAGCCACGGGCTGTGCTCTCTTCAAGTGCTATGGTAAGAAAGGTTGATGTGTGCTCTGGTGAGCTTCCCTGGTTGGACAGGCTGAAGGCTGTATTCAGCAATGGCTGGGGCTATGAATTACTTTCCCTGCCCAGGCAGAGTGGGGGAAACTGGTTCCAAAGGTGGTGAGCCTCTTTGTTTGTGGTCTTGATTCAAGCTGGCCTGTTCCCCAAGTTTCCTGGCTGAACAATGCTATTGGCTTTGTTCTGTGGATGATCAGCTCTGTCTACTGTACACCCTTCTTGAGCACTGCTGGACGGAAGCTATGCAGCTTCCAGGTGGTCTGGCCAGCCTTCCTGATCAGGTAGGGGCCAGGTAGGAGCTACACTCAGCCATGGGCTGGGCTATGACTCAACTCCCCTGACACCGCTTCCACAATGTAGCCCAGCCTCCCATCCTCCTTCCCTTACCAAATACATAATGCTTCACACACATCTCACTTTAACATTCCTGCACAAATGCATCTACCTCTGCTCATGCCAGTTCTGCTACTTAAAACGCCCTTCCCTGCCTAGCAAGCTCCTACTCATCCCTTAAAACCCAGCACAAATATCAGCCATCTAGCTCTTTGCTCTCACATAGTACTTCTCATACTGCATTTGTTTACACATTGGCCTGTCCCACTTTGAGGGCAAGGACCCATCTGATTGATTCCTAGTTCAGGAAGTACTGATGGACAAAGACAGAATTCAATATTCAACATACTGCCAGTGAAATTAGGAATGGGAGCTTGACTGAATCTCCCAAGAGTTCAGCAACTACTCTTCCTATAGCTTCTAGGAACTTTAAGGAACATTGGTTTTCTCAATATTGTGATCTTAAAGTCTCTCCCCTCCTCTGACCCCACCAGCTACCAGCTCAGGAAGCACCTGTCCCACCTTCTGCACATAAAGCAGCTTGGAACCAGAGATATGGACAGATGGAACCGAGAGTACATGGCTTTGATCCTCCAGGTTTGGAGGAAGGAACTGGAACTGAAACCCCCAAAGGCCATGGCAGTAAGCAGAACCACCAAGAGTCCACCCAAGGGCAGCTCAGGCACCAAGCCCACGAGGCACTCAGTGCTCAAGCAGATCTACGGTAACTGTCCTTCTGGGTACTTTGTAGTTTACAACAAGCACCCCCAGGGTACTTTGTAGTTTACAACAAGCACCCCCAGAGTGTGTCACATCAGAATTTGAAAACAGGAATGGGCAAACCTCCATTCAGATAGGAACTTTATTAAACTTCCAGGCACCAACAGAATTCTCATCATAATTAGTGCTTCCCTTCCAGCAATTCTGGGTCAGAATTGGTTTCATGAGGTATTCTGGTATCTCAACCAAGAAAGCCTTACAGCCAAGAGACTGTCTGCTGGGCTTCATGACTGAAAGCCTCACCACAGCAACTGCTCTAGGCTGCTGCCTGTTTTCCCTAAAATTCTCCATTTAGAGGACTTCAGGCCCAGGCAGACCGTGCCTGCCTCACACTGACCTTCCCTATGCTTAGAAAGTACAGAGTTGCCTATCTGTGGGAATACCCCAGATCCAAGCCCTACAGTACATACTTGTTCAGCAGATGAACTGCTGCATACTGAAACACTTTCAGCTCTGCAAAGTGCCCATCCAAATAAACTCAGAGAACAGGACTGGCTAGCTCCCCAGTGGAAAAAAAGTTAAGTCAGGGCACCCTTACAAACAGATCTGTGGCCCTGGCAGCAAAATCTGCAGACTTAACCCGGGCACGCCTATGTAGTTTTTCCACACCATACCTAATCTATCTTGGCAGACACCTGCAAGCTCAAGCCTTCACCTCAATAAAGAATTCAGAACTTGGTCAGGCCACAGTTGTCACTGGTCAGAAATAGATGATCATTGTTGGTTGATTTCAGGTTCTCAAGAAGGAAAAGTACATCAGCCCACAAGATCTTCAAAAGCCCATTCTGTGCTGGGTCTCAACTCAGGTAAGGCAGCCACTGCATGGGCAAAGCAGAGTGGGGAGACCATGTGGGTAAACAGTTCCCTTTTTTGTTTCATCCCCAAAGATGGAAGACATTAGAACAGACTGCCAGGGGTTCCAAGAGTCATTTGATTTCAGAATTACATGTGTTCTTCATCCCCCTTTCATGGAATTACCACTATAATAAACATCTCTTCTCCATAAGAGGCAAGTTATTTTTGCAACCAAAAGCTTAATAACATCACCTCCAGCAGAAACAATAAATGGCACCTATTATTGATCACTTTTACATACTTGTTCACATACAGGAGGGGGAAACACAAATACTGTCATTCTTCAAAGTAATACCTTGGGAGTTCTTGCTCCGTTTTGGTTTCACATTAAGATCCTCCATCTCCTTCCCAAAGATGGGAAGAAGTCCCTTGACCATAGATTCTGACTTTTGCCTTTTAGGGCCCCCTAAGGAGGCATTTAATATTTTAATATTTAATAGCATGTCCAGCTCAGGCTCAACTGTGCACACTTTCACTCATACAGGAGCAGCTCAGCGAACTTTCTTTTTAGCCACAAGACAAGACTGTTTTACTCAGGGCCCCTTCATTCATGCCAGAATTAAATTTGGGTGATAAGTTCAGTGCTGTCAGCAGTTAATGCCAGGTCCAGTGTTTCTCATGGGTGGCTATGGCAACACACTCCCCCCCAGTCCCTGATCCACAGTCATCCTGCAGGAACAGAGCACAGCTGGGAAGGTGAACAATGACTGTCAGCATGAACTTTAACATTCATTTATTTTTGATGGGGGGAAAACCAAGAGATGGGGGGACAGTAATTACTGCCAAAGCTTTAATAAGAGTTGGGCAACTCATGTAATATAGACAGGCTAATCAGGGGCAATTAGAGACTTTCAAAGGAATCAGGCCCATGGTTCTAGGTTTAAAACAAAACAAAACAAACCTCTAGTTACACTTGAGTGAATTAAAGAATAGTTTCAGGGCTTCCCTGGTGGCACAGTGCTTGAGAGTCCGCCTGCCGATGCAGGAGACGCGGGGCGCACTGCGTGGCATGCACTATCTTCATTCCCCCGTCCGGGATCGGACCCGCACCCCCTGCAGTGGAAGCGCGGAGTCTTAACCACTGAACTACCAGGGAAGTCCCAAGGGGCTCCTAGTCTTTTCCTGGGGCTGCTTAGGATGTGTCCTCATGTGTCTCCTGTACCCTAAGTTTCTCTCCCAGGCCTAGGGTGAGGCAAGTGAGGCACTCATGGCAGGTATCAATTTTAAGGAGGCCCCAAAAAAAAAAAAAAAAAAAAAAAAAAAAAAAAAGAATAGTTTCAAAAACACAGTCAGATAAAACTACTTAAGAAGTAGCATTTAGATAATCAGATATTAAAATGAGATAATCAGAGCATTTTTTACTTTGTCTCAAAAGTCCAGGACTATCAAATCTTTAAAAATGAAGGTGATTAGTGGCATAAAGGTTTTTAGTTAAAGGACTCACAGTTAAAGGACAGAATAAATAAAAGAAATAATGGTTTCTTAGGATGTCATATAAACTATCAGCTTGTTTGTCCTACACTGGCTTGAAAACAGATGAGGACCAAAGAGAATCTTTTCCTAAACCTAAGCTTGGGGGACAAAGGTTTTATGAGGCCCACCTCCCCACATTAACCATTAACCTGTGAATAAGGCTGATGGTCACCAGAGCTCCTATCTAGTTAGCTGCAGCCTGTGTTTTATACAGAATACAGTCTATAAATTTCCATGAAATGGGCATGACTTGGACATACATATAAGTTTCTGCAATGCAGAATCACAGATGGCAAATGGAACCAAGAAGGACAAACCATTCATTTTAGTTTTTACCTTGAATAGAAATTTTTGCTTTGAGAATTCCATGAGGTTACGGATCTTTGGATTTTGCTCACTGTTCTACTTAGCTTTAGTACATTGTTTGGCACATTGTAGGTGCTCAAATATTTGAGTGAAGATTGTGGTTCCTAACCTCTTCAATTTGGGGAGAGACTTTAGTATTGCCTTTACCTCTTATAACAAGGAGCAGAAAGTGAGCTGGTTAGAGCAAAGTAACAAACTCCTTGGACTGTTTCTCTACCTGCATCCAGGAGGCAAACAATCACATTCTCCTCAGTCTTCTACACCCACCTGCAAACCACCTACACCCACAGAGAACAGCAGCACAGTCATGATCAGAGAGCCTATATATATGTCAGTGCCCTAAATCTGGGGGCCCTTGTTAAAAATAAAAGAATTTCCTCTAAAAATAATTCCATTCCAACGAATGGAATAACTATGGCTTAAAAACGGTACCCCCTGGGGCTTCCCTGGTGGCGCAGTGCTTGAGGGTCCGCCTGCCGATGCAGGGGACGCGGGTTCGTGCCCCGTTTCGGGAGGATCCCACGTGCCGCGGAGCGGCTGGGCCCGTGAGCCATGGCCGCTGAGCCTGCGCGTCCGGAGCCTGTGCTCCGCAAATGGGAGAGGCCACAACAGTGAGAGGCCCGCGTAACGCAAGAAAAAAAAAAAAAACAAAAAACGGTACCCCCTGTATGAACGCAGAATATTCCTGCCCACCTACAGAGGGGTATGCAGATGACAACTCAAGACTTGATACAACAAAGGTAGCCACAAACACACCAGAGTTCCGAAACAGTTCACTTTACCTTTATTGAAGTAACAGTAATAAAACCACATGAGAGAAAGACATATTTTTGTAACTTTTTAAAAACTACTCACCTTTCATGTTTGCTTCTTTGCTCCACTTAGGAGCGACATCCAGCAGTACGGCCTCGGCAAGTTCTCTTAACTGGTCGGGGGCTCAGTAACCTCATTTGTTAAGTGAGAGGGTTGAGCGCACCACTAAAATTTTCCAACTGTGGCATCCTGTAACTCTGTGATTTCAAAGTCATAAAAAGGCGTAAAAAAAAATCCACTTCGTTTGATATGCCTATTATTCTATCACCTGAATAGTTTTCAAAGAACCTATTTTCTAGAATGGACTATAGCCAAGTATGTGGCACAGGGAAAGTTAAATGATAGATATGTTTGTGTTATGTTACAGAGATGCACAGAGAAAGCAGTATCATACCAGTTATTCCAGGCAGACTGAAGACCTAAGTTCCAGTCCTACCTCCTCAAGCAGCGGCCCCCTCATAGTCAAGGTTATTCCTTAAAGAGATGTCAGGTTATCTTTGAGAGGATGGAAAATGGAGGGCTGACGTCCTCCTGTCTCTACAATAAACTAGCCATCACCTTATTCAGCCCCATGGATAATCCAAACCTAAACCCTTCTTTCTCCCCACCAATCAACTCTGTCCTTCAGCATTAAAGTTAATAATCTGAATATCAGGACTTCCCTGGCGGTCCAGTGGTTAAGACACCACACTCCCAATGCAGGGGGCGCAGGTTCGATCCCTGGTCGGGGAAATAAATCCTGCATGCCGCACCGCGCGGCCAAAAATAATAATAGTAGCAATAATAATAATCTGAATATCTGGTATTTGTTTTTAACAGTGAGCAACTTGCAGTGTATACACCTCCTTGAGAACAGTGGAAGATCAAAGAATTTTTCTTATAACCTGCAATCAGCTAACCCATCAAGAAACAAAACAAAGCTTCAACTGCCTATGGAGGAAGACTGTGCCCGGAGGGGGCGGTTCTAATAGCTAGTGCAGAATTCTCTGATTAGCTTTTACACTTTGGGAAAACTTTAATATCCATGCCTGAAGGCTTATTAGCCTGAAAATGTGATAACAACCAAAAGAAATGTGTTTTCTTTCTGCTCTCACACAGCACTGTTTTGTAAATTGTTAGCCAGTGCTGAAAGGACCAGGGTAGACTATACCTGTGCAAAACTGCCCGTGTGCCTACACGTCCGTGAGGACGGCTGGAGAAGAGTATTTCTAACAACAACAGTTAAGTCTAAGTAAAACTAAGGAAGTGAGCACTAAAGACGCTGCTGGGTTGGGATTTCTCCTCAACTGATGCAAGCCTGTTTGTTGGCTCCAGTGAAGAACCTAAACGAGATGGGGAAGAGCCTGTCCCACAGCAGATGCCTTCAGTTCACTACTTTTCTGGAAGCTAATGCAATGGACTTCATTACAGACACCACATCCTGTTATTCCAATATCATCAGTTTTAATTTTTAGACCAAAGTCATGACCCAGTGTTTTGCTGTTAGACACTGTAAGACTGTAATAGGTATACTGCTGATTGCTTACATTTTACAGTTGCCGTGTCAGCCTCTGAAGGCCACAGGCTGCTGCCACGTCCTGTGAATGGCGTTCCTTCTGCTGAGCACCAGCAGTATCACAGCACCAAGGCCTCAGCTGGGAAGGTCTACAGGCCAGACATTCATGCACGGGGTGCCAATTCAGGCCTTAACCTTCCACTTGTATTTTCTGCTTGACCTGCAGAGGTGAGCAACCTTGTCAAAATGCTGTTCCTTTGGCATGGGAAACTGAACTATGCATTCTAGCTCTCTAAGAACACATGGTTTAAATAAAATCCAGTGATTGTGGGCTTTTTCACATTTGTTAAGGGCAAAGCTACTAGGAATGTAGACAGGCAGAGACAATGGCATATTAGGCTCACAAATATTTCTAGAACTGCTTGCATTTTAAGATTACTGCCACCCCTGTCCTGACAGTAAGAGATTGGAAGCAATGAAGTGTTATTTAATTACCTGGACTTTTTACAGTTGGCTAACTAAATTACTTCATTTTTATGAAAAAGATTATAACATAAATTAAGAACTATTATAATGGATCCCTAGTAGAAAACCATTTTGTAAGAGTTACCCAGCTTAGACCAAGGACCATTTAGGTACAGGAAAATCCACAACAAATGGGAGCACTGTTTTGAAATCTTGCTAGAAATCCTCTGGAAACACAACTCCAGAGTGAGAAGCAACCACTCCCAAACAAAACCGAACCAAATACTAGTTTAGTTTGTTGCTGTCTGAATGAACTGGGGCTGAGAACAAAAAGAATAAAGTTTGCCTAGATGGGACCACAAAGACTCAGCTTATTTCTTACTATACAATAGAAGGTACCATATTATCGCTCTGTATTTTATATATACTTAGCTATGAAATACAGAATACCTGTAACCACATATCACATGCTAGTCCAGGAAGCCAGCCTGTGCATCAATGGGAACTCCCAAGCATTATTTTCCTATTTCAGTGCAAAGGAGGGTTCATAAACAACTTCTTTAAAAGTTCAGCTTTAATGACAAACATTTATTACATCAGTCTCTTCAAAATTAGATGTGAATAAACAATTTCAAACAGAGGTGCCACAGTGCCTTTTCAATACACTGTGCTCAACATACTGGGTCCCTGGGGATGCCCAGTGATGTACACATTGAAGCAATAATGTAAGTCTGTGAGCCACTGCTCCTGAACACCTCCACTCTTCAATGTCTGCAGAGAAAAACAAGAGTAATATGAAAGTTGTACCAAAACTGCTTCCTGATGGTTTTTTCCCCACACCCAAACAAGATCTCAAACAGTCCTTGCAATAGTATCCTCATCTATTATCACATGAAATCTCACTGAAAAAAGGAACCTAGTAATCAGGTATTATTACCACAGGTAGTTAAAATTCCTAGTTTCATCCTCAAGTATTAAGTGCTACCAGTTTCTTGTTGGGTCTCTTCCCTCCCACATTTGCTAGGGACTAATGAAATTTCACCATTAACCACCCCTACACTCTGTACTCCCGCCCCTTCGCATTGTAGAATCTCATAACATTAACTGAGAATAATGATTCAACAGGTCTCAACTTGTCATTCTTATAGAGATTGGCTGATTCTCCAACCTCGGAATAATCCAAGTTCTTAACTTTCCTTCCCTTCTACTATTTCTGAATTCTGCATCCTCTTCCATTGAGAAAATTCAGAATACATCTTTTGTTATATGTAGGTATAAGTTCTATTACTCTGAAGTATTATTACATACACCAATTAATAACCCCCTCCAATCAAAGGCCTATACAAAAAACCTCTAACTCTCCCAAACCAAAAACACCAAAGGAATCCTTAATAAACAGAACTGCCCGCCCCAGGTGAACACAGAGAACCAACCATTAGACAAAGCTGAAGCCTGCAACTTCCAACTTGTTCCACCTCTCCAGTGAACTAAGTGACTAGAAATAGGCCTTAGTTTATTCCTGCTAAATTTCCTTAATGACAGCTAACATTTGTTGGGTGCTTAGTAACTATCAGTTACAGTATAAACCTTAACTTGGATGATCTCATTTAATGGTCAACAAAACCCAACAATGTTGCTATTATTCCCATTTCTACAGCTAGGAAAACAAAGCTCAGATAGGTTAAAAAAAAAACAAACCCACACAACTTGCCAAATTATCACAGTTAAGCAATAGAATCTGTATCACAAAACAGGTAGGAGTGACTGATGCCTGTACTTTTTCCAACTAAGCTGCCTGCCACCTTAATTCAGTTTGAGTATTTTATGGTTTTTAGTACTGATTCTGCAATCAAAGTCACCCCCCTGGTTAAGTGACAGTCAGTTACTAGACGGCAGGGGAAGCCCTAAGAAATCACCACACTGGGCTTAATTCCAGGAGTCCGTCAACACACAGAAACCCTGGCCTCCCAAGAGCACCTCCATGCCCATGAATCTAGTATGAACAGTACAAAGCCCTTGTTCCATGCTTCTTACTGTGATATTCTTGATGATCTGCTGCACCAAGATGGCATTGGTCAACATGTGAGTCCTGAGGGGTGCGTGCTGCAGCAGCAGGCGAAGCAGCTGGCCCACAACAGGCAGCTCCTCAGGTCCAGCTCTGCTCACCCGCAGGCTCTGCAGCATCAACCTGAGCACCCGAGGCAGGAGTGCCAGGATGGAGACACAGACGCCCCACAGCTTGTCCCTACAAAACAGAAATAAGTCAGTGAACCAATGCATACAGGAAAAGTGCCCTTTCCATACTTCCCAAGACTGAAAATGTCCTTTTAAGAAACATGGTGTTTTCTGATAAAACCCCAGAAACCAAAACTAATAAGAACTGGGTTTCATCAGAGCTAAAAAAGCAAATGTAGTGAAGAATCAGCTGCTTTCCCCTATTTTACAGGTTTCAGGAAGCCTAGCAACCAGCGTTTCCCTGGGCTTAACAAGACATTCTTGAAGCCCTAGTGATCATATTTAACACAGAATTCACCACAGAATGATCTATACATGCGTACTATTCTCTACCAGTGGACATTATTCAACTGTCTATTACACAACACCAAATGTCAAAAGAGTAAGAATGTCCCAATGGCAAAAAGGGAAGAAAAGAACTTCATGAAACTCTAAGCCTCTGACCTGGATTATGAGTCTCTTCAACGTGTTAGAACAGGGCAGCTTTCCAGAGAAAGATGTGCTCACAAGGAACCAAAGGGATTTGAGAAAACAGCCAGTAAGGGAACTATTACAGGCCAGAGATGATAAATAAATCCAAATTTCAGTGAGCATCATTCTTTCGGTATCTTTATAGAACAGGAACAAAAATGTTTTATGATAGAGGTAAGTGGCCTAACCACATTCTAGAAGTGTGTCAATTAAATGGAGCAATATCCTTTTGGAGGAAAAGTTCACTGGCTGCTAAAGGCTCTGACCTTAGCCTGTTACAATTTCTCTACCAAGAGTGCATAATCCTCCCAGTCCCAAGTCTTTCTAAGAAAGCCTACGTCCAGACTTTTCACCATTTGACCCCCTCCCAACTCCACATACAGCAATTGCATCAAAGGTAGATACCAAATCCATTAAGCCAAACAGATCCTCTTATTTGAAGAGACTTTATTCAGCCTGTGGACTCATGCACAGCCAGGTTAGGACAGCCATGTGCAAGGAGAAAAGAGAAAGCCAGATTGCAGACATAGCTAACGAGGAGGCAAAGGCACAGAGATTAAAGACTACAAAACTTAGAAGAAAAAAGAACAGAGGAAGCTGCTTTGGTTCCTGCTGGGTTTCAAATTCCTACCTCCACAATTCCTATCCCTTGGGTTTTTTTTTTAATAAGTTACTACTGTACTGATCCAATATATTCACTCTCTACTTGAACTTCAGTGGGTTTCAAATAACTGTGGATCAAAACTGCTAAAAGAGCTTATGGATTCTACATTACACCAAATACAAGTATACTGAATGGATGAGTAAAATTTAGAATTCCACCTTCACACACCACAATTAAAAAAGAAGAGAGGCCAAAAAGAAGAGAGACCTAGGTACCATGAACGATGTAAGCAATACCATTTGAAGAGCCATTCTTAGGGTTTTCTAAGAGTTGTCATGCACAGAAATAACTGTACCAACTCTATATAAATTGTTATGAAGTTGAGATTTTAGGTCAACATAAAGCAATGGTTCTAAACCACTCTAAAGGAACTGATGAAAGCCCAATATTTCACAGATAATTTTCAGGAGTTCCACTAACTTTGCAAACTTCTGGTGTATTCTGGTCAGATAATACCTACCAACCAACCCCCCTCCACTCCCCAAACACAGGGAAATACAGATAATATACTTTAAAAAACAAAACAAAAATACAGCCAAGCTCAAAAGCCAGAATAGGTGATATCTCTAGGTGCCAGAAACTATGACAGAACTCATGAAGATACACAGGAGCACAGAACTGGATATGGGATTTGGGGGCTGGGTATTCAACAGCCAACAAACAATGTTGGAAGCTGAGGCTTCAGCCCCAGGTATGGAAAGCAGGGAGCTAGAACTGGGCTCCCTGCATAGAGCTGGAAGCCAGGAAAATGCAAATGTGCAAGTGCACCATAGGGAGGTCTCCACAAACTCTCACAAAAGATGCATTCAGAGAAAGTTATATGATCCAAAACATGAGCTTGTTTGTTCAACCCCACTAGAGACAACCTCCAGAGCCCCCACCTGCTCCCCAAAATGGGAGAATTCCCACACCAGAGAGAAACAGAGCAAACAGAACAAACTGACAAGACCTTTAACACCAATAAAGCAAGAATGACAAAGAGCCAAGTAAAAACTCAAAATAGATGAAAGAGAAAACAATAGCTGCTACAATAAAAACTCAATAGAAGGATTAAACAAAAGAATTAGAATGAGAAACTCCCTATGTCTAAAAGGAGTTTTTAGGGGAGAATAGAAACAGTGGGGAAGATAACAGAAATAAAAACACAACTGAAGAAAAAACATTAAGTCTTCAGATTAAAGGAGTACACTAAGTCTCAAGCAGGATAAACAACAACAAACCTACACTAGGATACACCCTGATTTGCAATGCAACAAAGAGAAAACAGTGAAACCATAGAAAAGAACAGATTACTAACCTAGGGGCAGGATGGAAATAAAGACGCAGACCTACTAGAGAATGGACTCGAGGACACGGGGAGGGGGAAGAGTAAGCTGTGACAAAGCGAGAGAGTGGCATGGACATACATACACTACCAAATGTAAAATAGATAGCTAGTGGGAAGCAGCCGCATAGCACAGGGAGATCATAGCACAGGGAGATCAGCTCGGTGCTTTGTGACCACCTAGAGGGGTGGGATAGGGAGGGTGGGAGGGAGGGAGACACAAGAGGGAAGAGATATGGGGATATATGTACACATATAGCTGATTCACTTTGTTATAGAGCAGAAACTAACACACCATTGTAAAGCAATTATACTCCAATAAAGATGTTAAAAA